AATCACTTTGCCTGCCTCGGTCCACACGTTCACCATCAACATTCATCACCATCACCATGCTCCTCTGTCATTTGGTGGCTGGCTTGGTACTATGAAGCTGGAAGCAATGCTACTGGTGGAGACATTTCAGTTGATCTTCCAGACTAAAACAGACTAGGAAGAAGAAGAGGCAGGCTATTTCTGAAGGTTTAGCCTTATAAATAGCAGTGGAACACTGTCAGATAGCACCAGAATATTGAAACATGATGAATACCAGAAGAATATTGTCAGATAAAATCCCAGAAGATGAACCCATCAGATTGGAAGACACTCAAAAAAGAGTTGCCTCCTCAAAGTAGAGATGACAGCGATGATGCCAATGGAGTAAAGTTTTCAGGACCTTAATTTGCTGATGGGGGAAAACTCAAAATGAGGAGAAACAGCTGTAAACACCCATTAATAAACAGAACATGGAATTATTAATCTAGGAAAACTGGAAGTTGTCAAAAATGAAGTGGAGAACATAAAGATCGATATCCTAGGCATTAGTGAGCTGCAGTGGATGGATATTTGCCATCTTGAATCTGACAGTCATATTATTTACTAGGTTGAGATTGACAAATTGAAGAGGAATGGCGTCCCATTCATCACTAAAAAAGAACATTTCAATAGCTATCTTGAAGTACAATGCTGTCTGTGATAGGATAATATCCATATACCTACAAGAAAGACCACAGAGCTCTGGTAGCATAGCGGTTAGTAGTCTGGCTGCTAACCTGCAGGTCATGAGTTCGAAACTACTAGCCATTCCATGGGAGAAAGATGAGGCTTTCTGCTCCTGTAAAGATTTACAGCTTCAGAAACCCTATGCAGGGTCACTATGAGTTGGAACTGACTCCACAGCACACTACCACCACCACAAGGAAGGCCAGTTAATACCACTATTATTCAAATTTACACACCAACAACTAAAGCCAGTGATGGTGAGATTGATGAATTCTACCAGTTTCTTCAGTCTGAAATTGATCAAAATGTAATCAAGATGTATTCATAATTTTTGGTGATTGAAATGCAAAGGTTGGAAACCTTTGGAATGATCAGTAGTTGGAAAACATGGCCTTGGTAATAGAAATGATGCTGCAGATTGCATGATAGAATTTTTCAAGGCCAATGACTTCTTCATTGCAAATGCCTTTTTTAAACAACATAACATAAACAACACATGGACCTTACTAGATGACTTACACAGAAATCAAATTGACTATGTCTGTGGGAAGAGACTGGCAAAACTCCATATCATCAGCCAAAACAAGGCCAGGGGTAGACTGTAGAACAGACCATCAGTAGCTCATATGTAAGTAAGCTCATATTAAACTAAGTCCATGAGAGTCAAAATTTGAACTTGAACATATTCCACCTGAATTTAAATCATCTGAAGAACAGTTCTGGTGCATTAGACACTAATGGCTGAAGACCAGAAGAGTTGTGGGATGGCATCAAGAACATTATACAGGAAGAAAGCAAAAGGTCATGAAGAAGACAAGAAAGAAGAAAAAGACCAAAATAAATGCCAGAAGAGAGTCTGAAACTTGCTCTTCAGCATAGAGATGCTAAAGTAAATGGAAAAAATAAGGAAGTCAAAGAGCTGAACAGAAAATGTCAAAGGGCAGCTTGAGAAGACAAAATCAAAGGAAATGTGCAAAGATTTGAAGTTAGAAAACCAAAAGGGAAGAATACACTCAGCATCTCTCAAAATGAAAAAACTGAAGCAAAAATTCTACTCTTAACTTGCAATATTGAAGGATTCTGTAGTAAAATATTGAATGATGCAGAAAGCATCTAAAGAAGATGGAAGGAATATACAGTCACTGTACCAAAAAGAGATGGATGATGTTCAACCATTTCAAGAGATAGCATATGACCAGAGCCAATAGTACTGAAAGAAGGAATCTAAGTTGCACTGAAGATATTGACAAAGAACAAGGTTCCAGAAAGTGATGGAATACAAATTGATATCTTTAAACAAACAGATGCAGCACTGGAGGCGTTCACTCACCTATGCCAAAGAATTTACCTAACTGATAGGAAGAGATTCATATTTGTGTGTATTCAATCTGACTAGCCGGGGCTGAAGAAATGAAATACAGACGGGTCTCTTGTGATACAATAGTGAATAATTGTTATCAGGACTGATTGTGAGGGTTGGAAATGTAAAGGTAGACGTTTTA